TAGTATTGTAAGAGATAGTAGTATGGGAGGGTTTCTTCTAAAGTCTACCACCATTTCTACGGTTTTGAGTGTGTTCAGTTCCAGATTGTTCCGGTTACACCACGAGGCAAGTTGTATAACCTCCTGTCTGTATGCAGATTCATTGTTGTCTCGAATGAGACCAATCACTGTTGGGTCATCAGCAAGCTTCAGTATTTTAACAGATGGATCGTTTGAGATGCAGTCATTGGTATATAGGGAGAAGAGAAGTGGTGATAGCACACAGCCTTAGGGGGGCCCTGTGCTGATTGTACAGGTATCAGATGTGATTCCGCCTAGCTTCACCTGCTGCTTCCTGTCTGTTAGGAAGCTTATGATCCACTTACAAGTGTGTTCAGGTACCGCTAGTTGGTTTAATTTACTTAGAAGAGTGTCTGGAATGATGGTATTGAATGCTGAACTGAAGTCTACAAAGAGGACCCTTGCGTAGGTAGTTGGAGATTCAAGGTGTTGTAGGATGTAATGCAGAGCCATGTTAACAGCATCATCTGTCAATCTATTTGCTCGGTATGCAAACTGCATGGGATCTAACAGCGGATCTGTGATGGTTTTCAGGTGGGACAGCACAAACCTTTCAAAGATTTTCATAACTACAGATGTTAGAGCAACTGGTCTGTAGTCATTCAGTTCCTTGATGGAGGGCTTCTTTGGCACTGGGATGATGGTAGAACGTTTGAAGCAGGAAGGAACATAGCACATCTCTAGTGATCTAACTGAACCAAAAATGCACAACCATGTATTGCACATTTCATGATAAAGCCATTCAACCCTGTTTATTATTTATTTACAGGATTTATAGGCTGCCTATATCATTCAATTACTCTAGAAGGCTCACACTAATCTATAAGACATAGTTTAAAAAAAACTCTTCCCCTCAGGTGCCAGACTAAATGTTTTCATAGCTCATGCCTCCATCCTAACCCAATGCTTGAGGGAAGTGACAGATCTTCACAGCGCTCTGGAAGGCTAAAAGTGTAGAGTCCTTTTGATCTCATGGACTGGGGCAGCACCAAGAAGCCATGCCTCCTAGGTCTTATCAGATGGCAACATTTAAGGAAGGGGACCTGGAGCACCCACCTAATCCAACCTTGTAGGGCAGGCAGATATCCTCATGGATTTATGACAGGATGAAACCTCTATTTTAATTAAAGGTTGGCTTTAAATTAGGTTTTGGCAATGTCTAATAGCCAAGGGGTCACTTATGGAGAGGAAATGGGAGTTGGGGTTATTTTTTACCCCAACTGTTTTTCTAATAGATTAACTCTATTATTACAAACACAGTAGTTTTCATTGTTTTTCTGCCCCAAATTATGGAAACCTGTAATCTGGATCAGACAGGGTTGTAGGGGGCCACAAGAAAGAAAACTGTGGCTCTTGGGACTCAGATTGCTAATCTTAAATTTATTGCTTAAATTCATGTTTGGCTGTATTTCTATCATTCATAAGAACACAAGCGCTCTCCTGGATTAGATCAATAGTTTCCTTAGCCCCTCATTCTACATCCCACCTGGGTTGGCCCAATATTTATGAGATATTTAGAAGGATTAATTTACATGAAGGCAAGAGCCTATTAAGGCCTTGGCAGAGGGCAGCACCATGGTGACCTTCTTAGTCTCAGTAGAGAAGCAAAGTTTAGTTTGGTGAATTACTTACATAGAGATTATCAGAAACTACTATACGCTAGATAGAGAAGACAAAAAAACCTCAGAACAAATTAATAACAAAACATGTTGTACTGTTGTAAGTAGACTGCATGGAAGGGTCCATAAAATCACCAGGAACTAAGTTTGACCTGAAGGAATTGGTGCAGCGCAAATACTGTTAAGTCTGAGTGTGGAGGCAGAGGTGGAGAAGACAGGCGATCCGGATGTGCTGTGTGGCTGCCTGACTCACGGGAGGTTCGTGGGAGGCTTGTGTGGAGGCATTGTCAGCAGGCGGAGGCATAGGCATGGGGGAGGCAGGCGATCTCAATGCCCAGGGCGGGTGCCTGTTCGACGCGCCTGCAAAGCAAGCCAAGGGACAGCGGTATGGAGTGGGCAGCTCATTGGGATTACCTCTGCCTCCGCCTAGCTGTGCTGCACACTTTTTACCCAGAGGAAGATGAAGTTTTATCTGCTTCCTTCGTCTCCCTCTGGGCAAAAAGTGTTTGGGCAGCTACCACTGGTCCCACCCTCTCTGCCCAAATGTCTGCTTGCCTATGGCCTCAATCAGGGCCAAGCTCTCAGCACGCTCTGGCCTTCACCCGCCCTGACAGGAGGGCGAAGAGCCCTTGCAAGGCGCCATAGCTGAGAAGTATCTCAGCAACAACTAGGCCAGCAGGCAGGGTGGGTGGAGCACAGGGCATGCCGAGGGCTTGGCCCATTGCAGGCAAGCAGATAGTGGGACAGAGAGAGCAGGGCCAACGGTAGCTGTACTCTCACTCCCGTTGGCCTCCACACTCACCGCCTCCTGCACTTAAAATAAATAAGACCTCCTCCCCAAAAAATAAACCCGAGTGCTTATTTTCAAGTCCAAAAGAAAATAAGATCAGGTCTTATTTTCAGGGAAACACAATAGGTTTCTTCTTTTATTCAAGGATACTTGAATTCAAGATAAATACGGTGAATATTTGATTAGTAATAATATTTTGTTCCTTACATTCACTAAAGCTTAAATTATGAGAAAACTCAAAATGGTTTATAAATAAAATAGGGGACTAATCTGGGCATCCGTTAATATAATAATCTTATTTATGCTGAAAATGTTTTAAAGTACTTTTCTGGAAAGCAACTCTGAATTTAATTTAACTTGAGAAGACTTTTGGCAACTTTTTCTATAAACAGTTGTTATTTAAACGGAAAGGTTTATTAAAAGTTAGGTTCTACATTTAGGCAAGAATAACCAAATATACAGGTATAGTATAGGTTGTACCTGGCTCAATAGTAAACTGTGAGAGGAACCTTGGGGTCCTAGTGGACAATCACTTAAATATGAGCCACTGCAACTGCCACAAAAGACAACACAGATCTAGGCTGCATTAACAGAGGGACAAAATCAAGATCATTATACTTTATAATGCTTTGGTAAGACCACACTTAGAACACTGCATCCACTTTTGGTCGCTGTGAGGTAGAAAAGATGTTGAGACTCTACAAAGAGTGCAGAGAAGAGCATCAAAGATGATTACGGGATTGGAGGCTAAAACATATAAAGAACAGTTGCTGGAATTGATTGTATCTAGTTTAATTAAAAGAAGGACTAAGCAGTGTTCCAATATCTCAGGAGGTGTCCACAAAGGGAGTCAAGGGAGTCAAGGTATTCTCCAAAGCATCTGAAAACAGGACAAGAAGAAATGGATGGAAACTAACCAAGGAGAGAAGCAACCTAGAACTAAGGAGAAATTTCCTGACAGAACAATTAATCAGTGGAACAACTTGCCACCAGAGGTTGTGACTACTTCAACACTGTAAATTTTTAAGAAGAGATTGGACAACCATTTGTCTAAAAAGGTATAGCACTTCCTGCCTACGCAGGGAGTTGGTCTAGATTCTCTAGAAGACCTCCAAGGCCCTCCAATTCTGTCATTCTATTCTTTATTACATTTTTTTAAAAAATAGATATTATTTGTATTTATATGGAATAACATAAACTCTGGTGTCAATTGTTTTAAATACTATGAAACAACAGCAACAACAAAATTCACACTTAGTACACATCTCAGATAATATTTAAGAAGGCTTGATTGTGAAAAGAATCATTGATAAGACCACTATTCATTACGGTAGTTGGAACATCATTCATATTGCCTGTTTTTCTGATGTCTTGGAGTGAAAACTCCAGAATCCTTGACATGATTTTAATAGCAAGTAGTGCTTACCAAACATGTACAGAATGTAGCATATGAATTTATCTACAATCTAAGTCTATAAATATATCATATATGTAGAGGCAGGGAGCCAAGAGTAGTATTTTAAAAAAATTGGGAGAACAAAGCTATTCCAAACTTGCAGAAATATATTACATATTTTTGTAAATATCTAAAATGGCTGTTTTTCATAAGGCAGAAAATATTTTTTCTAGAAATTTAGTCAAACTTGCTTGATCTGTTTTGTCTACAATTATGGTTTTCCCTTTGTTTTTGTTTTTTTATATAATTTTTCTATATTATGTATGTAATTACGGTATTATGTCAGTTCAGATCATATAAAACAGTAGGAACTAAAATCTAATAAATAAGTTTATATTTTTGTCATTTGTTTTATTTTAACTATTTCAATATTTGGATGTTGGTATATTTGCTGGATTTCATTGTGTTTTAATTGAAAGGTAATTTGTTTAGAAAAAAATTAATTAAGGAAACAGACTTCAATTTATTCCTTTTAGAAAATTTTATGTTATAGGTTTTGCCAATCAAAACATTTAAGGAGTGCCTATTTGATAAATTCAGATCACTGTTCATGATAAATCCAAGGCAAATGAATTAGGCTTGACAGGTTCACTAGAAAAATGTTGTACATTTTGGCATCATTTCAACTCAGAAGCAAATCTGTCCGAGAAATGAAGGACATCAGTACAAATACTATGAATATTTACCCTGATACCATGGCAGATGTTATTTTTAATTGGGCTATTCAGTACTATCCAAAAAGCTACAACAGCTGTTGTTGTCAGTTTGTTTTGTTATTTTTCATTTCTTTAGATACATTAATCATCCAGGCTACTTTTTTTACCACCACTCCCCCTTTATGCACATTAATTTGTGACAACCTTCAACCATTGTTCTCTACTGATCTTTATCCAACGATATCAAGATTCTTACTGCTAATCCCATCATTAAGTTTTATAATTGCCATAGCTACCATATATCAAAAGTTTCATGAAAGATGGGAGTTAAATCCAAATTAGATTGCTAAATTAGAGATTCCATTGATTATTTAAGAATGCCTTGTATTAGTCTCTGTTCTTCACTATTGACTCTTTACCTGTGATTTGACATAGTCATACTCTTCTGTCCCACGTGGAAAATTTCGAAGAGAAGTGAGGTAGTCAAAAGTGATCACTGCTGTCTAGAAAACAATCCAGACACAAAATCATAAACCACATGCTCTGTTTCCTTGTGTTCTGTAAAAAGCATTTTGATACTTCTGTTTCCATATCTAGAAGTACAGCCCTTCAATCAGAACTTGCACTATGTTCCCCTAGTGTCAATGAACAAAAAAATCCACCCATGGTTCAACACACTACACTTTTTTCTACATTAGTTAGACATCCCACATTCAGTAATGTGTTAAATTCTGGACACAATAGTTTAAGGATTTAGATACACTAGAATAGGTTCAGAGAAATGCAATAAGGATGATCAAAGCAGTAGAAACAAAGTTTTATGAAGAGAACTTATTTTAGCCTTGTGAATAAGTATATGTAATGCCACATATGTCAAAGGATGTTCCAAAGAAGATTAACATCTGTTCTCCCTCACTCCAAAGGAAATAATAGATATAGATTTCCAGAAGGCCAATGCCAATTAAATGTTGGGGGAAAATTTTATAATAATAGTATCAGTTTGACAATGGAATCAGTTACTCACAGAAGTAGTGGGTATGAGTTCAAAAAGAAGACAACCCTAGCACTAACCCACACTATAGGGAATTGCTTAAGAATCCCTCTCCAACTCTATAATTATATTGCTATTGCTATATTATTCTAAGCACAGTCCAATCTACATACTTACCTTTGTGCTAAACTCTTTGACAATTTTTTTCAATATCAGCTTCTACATTCAGTTTTAGTTTAAAATGCACAGCAAAAATAAAGCCTTAAGTATTAACAGAGACCTTTCAAATAACAAGACTTTCTACAAAGTAGACTAAGGATTTATATTTCAGATATTCAGAATTAGAGGGGAAGTAACAGGAGACCTGTGAAGATTCTCAGCCATCCAGGTCATGGTTGTCCTAAGGGTGCTTTTCAAGAGGCAACTGGACTTTCTTGTTTTTTCTTTGAAGACGTTTCGCTTCTCATCCAAGAAGCTTCTTTGGCTCTAAGCTGAAGAAAGTCCAGTTGGCTCTTGAAAAAGTACCTTTGGGACAAGTAACAGAAGGATTTATTTGGTTTCTTAGAATTCATCCACAAATGCAGGATGAAAATCTAAGTGATAAGGGCCTTGCTTAGCCCAATTTCTACTTCATAGAATCATGACAGAACAAAACTAAACTTTGTTGTCCAATCCCTTGAATTTTCCTTCTACCCATCTTTTAGAACTGTGAACATAATTCATAATACTGGCATCATATTTGTTTTTACAGTGACTAAATCTTATTTGTTAGTATTGATATGTATCATACATCAGAACAATGTAGAGACAAAGAGAGAAGAGTTCATATGATGCAATATCTGGAGCAAATGTCTTTTCTATAGTACTTTTTTTTATTAGATCATCTCGCCCACAAGATATCCTTCAAATGTGTTAGTCTCCATGACTATCATTGGGAAGTCTAACACACTTGGAAAATATCAGGCCAGGAAAGGGGATTAAAAAATCAGCCAGTCATGTAATTAAGAGTGAATTTTGCAATATGATTTTATGACAAAGATTTTGGAGCTTTAACAATGTCATGACAAACAGAATCCCCAAACACTGTGCTTTCTTTGCCATGGAGAAACAGTGATGTAAAAAATTGGGCCTGCAGTTAAAAGCAAGGACTGTTAAGAAAAAAAAATAGTACTGAAATCCTAAATTTAGAGGTAGAGGGGAGGGCAAACAATGATTTTGTATTTTTTGCCAAATATGCCAGCATCGAAAATATGCTTTTCAATGACATCAATTATAAATCAGAAAAATCCACATTAAATATATGTTAGCAAATATATTCTCAGAAGTCAATTTCTTTTTAAACGATGTATTGTTTTTAACCCTATATTTTGTATTAAGCATGAAACTTACAGTGGCAACAGCTCTGCCTATTCGAACCACTCCAAAATCATTGGGATCCAGATGCTTGTTGCTGTGTATGTATAAAGCAGCAGTGGCCCCTACTCCACTGACAAATGATGCTAGTTTTAAAGCTTTTCTGGCCATGGTGGCAAACTGCATGGAAATAAAAACAGGAGAAACATGAACCTGCAACATAAATCGGCAAAAAGACAGATAGGCCTCATGTGCATTAATTAGGTCTGTGTACTTCCCTTATTTCTCCAAGTAGATTAAAACAACTGTAGGAATACCATGCAAAGGTACTTTCTCAGGATGACAATCATTAACTCACCAGAAATGTAAACAGGCTTCTTCTAAAATAACAGAAATGCAGAAGCAGGGATATTGGGAGGGGAGCGGGGGAGAGAACCAAATTTTAAATTACAAATCTTCAAACTCAAATAAATAACATAGATGGCTGCACAATCTTCCACCGAATCTTTCTACTTAGCTAAGGGAAGAGATTTCTGTCAGATAATTGTTTTTTAATTGAAATATCTAATATTTTATGCCTGATTTGTTCTTAGGTTTTCTGTTTGAGAGTTTTTCAACAGCAATTCAGACACCTCTCTTATTCTCATTTTTTTCCTGTTTTCTTTTGTTATTTTTTTTTAAAGAACTTGTGCCTTGAAAACTCCACCTGGTGTTCTACTTTATTCTCACCTGAAGTTAAATGGGGCCATTTGTATTATTATTTTTGAGGCTCTCAAATTACTGCAGTACTTAGCCCAGGATGGTAGCTTCAGTGGGGAACCTGAGCTATTGAAAGCACCTGCTTTGTGTGTGTGAGGGAGGGGGGTTGCAATAAAGTGAGAGTTATTAAACTATAAGGTAAAAGGAATCATTAGAATAAATTGCTCTGGCAATTTTCTATGTGGTTATAGCACTAGCACAGGGATGTCAAACTCACATCGTCATGGCGTCGTCACATGATATATCAGGACTTCTTTCCCCTTTGCTAAACTGGGTATGGGCATGGCCCACATGTGACACATCCGGCCCACTGGCCGGGAGTTTGACAGCCCTGTTCTAGCATGTCAAAGGGCTTAGGAAAAGCTTAAAACCTTGTCAGCCTCAGAATGCTTCCAATATTCAGATGCTCAGCATGAAGACTCTGATTTCATGGGAATGATAAATTAGTTAAGTTCAGCAGACTAGTAGTGTAAGCATAACCTTCTGGAGGTCAATTATAAAGTTTTCTACTTATTTTGGATGAGTGTTTGTGATTTCTCTATGTCCAGCTTTTAGTGTTATATTCAATGTAATGTAGTATAGGCAGTGAAATGACAACTCCGACAAAAAGCAGGAGTTTTCAAAATTGAACTGCAGAAAAGATCTTTAAGTCATTGCTCTGATTATCCAGGCTATTTACTATTTAAATTGCTCATTTGCTGAGGTCAAGAACAACTCACATCACCTTTGCAAAGATATAGGGATAGTTTAAATCTTTGTTTTATCTTTTTAGGTTTTCTAAAATTAAAAATAATTCTTTACAGGCATTCAATAATCTCTTGGGAATAGAGTCAACCTTAATTAGTAAAATTTGCAAATATTGAAAAGATGTTTTCTACGCTAACATTTTAATAAGGACACATCAATCTAATCTTAATGGTAAGCTTATATAGTGGCAGAAAATACTACAAAGAAAACTTTGTAGTTAACGTAGCCAAAGGAAAATGTCTATGGAGATTCTCAGTCATCCAGGTCATGGTTGTCCCAAAGGTGCTTTTTCAAGAGGCAATTGGACTTTCTGGTTTTTCTTTAAAAGAAGAAGACGTTTCGCTTCTCACCCAAGCAGCTTCTTCAGCTCTGGCTGGACAGTGGGGAATGGAAGAAATCCCACAAATTCCTTCCATTCCCACCATCCAATTAGAGCTGAAGAAGCTTCTTGGATTCACTCTTTATGGGGGAGAAATACATACACATACTGCAAAAAGAGTGCCTTTCCCCATTTCAAGCTTCTCCCCGCTGCTGAGTGCTATCCACTCATCCCTGAGTCAGCAGAAAAGGATATTTGCTGTTCCTACTATTGACCACTATCCCTACATTGCTTTTATTTTGAGTCACTGCTGTCTGCCCTCTAAGATTTTAGGCTACTTGTGGCTACTCTTAGTCTGTGATTAAATGAGGGGGAGAAACACTCCTTTAACACTGATACAGCTAAGAACCTAAGCCTATTTTACTCTTAGGAAGGGGACAAGATGACATCATAGAAACACAACTCCCCCAAAAATCTATGTCGGTGGGAAATGTTTTCAGTATGGTTAGTGCAAATGGCAAAAAGCTGTTAATTATTATTATTGCCTTTATTGTCAGAGTACAACATGTGTACAATGAGATTGGCTTGGACAACATTCGTGCACAATTCAATTCTCAGGCAAAATGTATCTGTTCAATAAGGCAGCCACAACTCTTCAAATTTCACTTTTATATACTGTATATGCTTATTAAGAACATACATAGGGGAACCACATAACTCAGTGTAAGGAAACTGTATTATGACAGAGGTAGACAAAATTATAACTACTTTTGATAGAATTTAATATTGTGATAAATATAAAAACTATATATTTTACCAGAAAAAATATGTTGTTCAAGTCTGTCTCTAAAAATACCGAAGAATATGAACACTGAAATATCCTGAAAATGACTAATCTACAAGCTTTTCTTGCAATGACAACCATTAATAACTGTCTATTCGAGAATAAATCCAACTGAATTCAGCATGATTGTGCTCCATGATAAAAGACAGAATTGGGGGAGAGGAAAGTATGCTCCACTGATTTTCATGCAGTTGATTCCTGAGTAGATACAGGATTATTTATTCATTTCTATGTATTTATTTATTAAGATTTGTGCACTGCCCATCTCATTTAGAGGTGACTCTGGGCAGCTTACGAATATTAAAAAGCAGTAAACATTAAAAAGATAAAGCAATAAATAATGTACAGTTAAAATAATTTACAGTTAAAAGTACATTCTTGATAATATTGCCATACTATTATGTTGTACATTTTTAAAGTTTAATATAATTAAATTCCTAACTCAATATTTACATACACACATACACACACGCGGTTACTTTTCCACAACATTTACTGAGCTAATCTCAGCATAATAGAGCATTTTCTTTAAAACGAGTAAGATCATTGAATAGGTTTTCTTCCAAGCCTGATAGAATCTTCAAGAGGAATCTTTGTTAAATTCCCTGAATCATATTTAGTATATTCTAATGTAATTGATATTCTCTTTTCCTCTTCCACATTTAGCTTTTGAGCACAACATACAAGAAATATTGTACTGAGGGCTCCTTGTCGATTAAGGGTTATGTCATAATAAATGTTCATCTTAAAACTTTTAAAATATCCTGGATCGTATTAGTCACTCATTACACGTGAGAATACTTTTAACCTTAGTCGCCTTATGAATTAAGAATCGGAAGCAGGTCGACTGAGAAAATCTATAATAGGAAATATTCAGGTGGATTTTCTTTGGGACGGAGTCCAGTGAAATTAAATTATAGAGGTCAATAAATTACTGAGTTTTATAGAAATGAGAAGTGACCGATTGGAGTTACGAATAAAGGTTGCCTGTATTTTGTGAACTGAGGGCAGATTACACCGATCGGGTGGTGAAAAAAAATCAACTCTGTGATAGATTATTGAAGCAGTAGATTCCATGCATCGGTCTAGCGAACGAAATTCCATACTGCAGGTTGAGAGAGCGGAAGCGAAATCCTCGAATCACATTAATAACTGGGAGGGGGAAACTGAGTATATTCCAATCCAATTCATTAGAATCCTCCGTTCTTATGGAACGTTCTAAACTCCACAAAGATTTCGATATCCGCAGGAATCATTTCAAAGGCGCTCGCTGTTCCTCTCCTCCTCCTCCTCCTCCTGTTCCCCTCTTATCCGTCCCTCCGGCCACCTCCAATAAAAGTCACACCGACCCCTCCACTCCGCCTCCCGCACTTACCGGCTTCCTGGGCACAATTTACCAGGGCGATTTTAATTGGCGGAAAATAAAGGTTCCCGCCCCCTTCTCATCTCACGTGGTACAGACTTTTCTCTGTAGAGGATGCTGGGACTTGTTTTGTGGTGAGGAGGGAGATACAAAACTGCTTGTTACGTTTAAGAAGCACGCGTCCAGAAGAATTTTGACAGTGGCGTTTTTCAGTGACTTTGTCGATCGCGAAAACGGGACCAAAACGTCGTCAATATTAGTGTCTATAAAGTAGGCGTAAATCTTTAGGTACATAACTAGCAGAGCTTGTTCTGTGACACTTGTGTGCTGCACCCTAATGTGAAGCTTATTTAGACAATTGGTCGAACTATTTTGAAGATCTTTAGGGTGTGTGGGTGTGTATATATACGTTGAATTGAAAATCCTCATGTTCCTTATCCAACTAGCACTAAAATACTCATGAAAAGAGAAATTAATGCCCTATCAACTTCATTTATCCAGGCATCCCATCTGCAATATTAAAAGAGAATGAAAATCCATGTGTGTCTTAGGAATTAAAATTAAGAATTAAAAAAATAAAGTTGAAAATACATTAATTTGAAATCATTTACCAGTAATGATAGCTTTATTGCAGATGTTAGTCTTATTAAATTATTGAAACACCACATTTAAGGCAATCTGGCAGCACCAGCCAAGTCTGGGAAATAATCTTACTTTGTTAGTTGAATGGGAGACTATAAGAAAATACCAGGGTTGTAGGCTAGAATGAAAGGTGAAAAAACATGGTCCAAAAAGACAATGACAAATCACACTAAATCACCCAGCTGAACTCAAACGAGGCATTACATACATTATTATTTCTGGTTTTTATTCACATTTCAGAGGGAATCCAGATGTCTTCTAACTAGCAAGTTTCCTCCTCCAACAACTTCCACTGTTGTTTTGATTACGATGTAAAGAATACAGAAAAAGACAATAGTTGTGTAATGTTTTTTGACTGCTAATATTCACAACTACCCTGAAGTAACCTATTTAAATGACCACTGAATATGAAGGGCCTATTGGAAGAAACACCATCTTTCCACATATTCCTGACGCTATTCTGAGCTTCTGATATATGAAAAGACCCAACAATTTTCAAAG